CAGGATTTAAATAAACAGAGGGGCTGCCCAAGGTTCAGCTCCCAGGTGGCCATTTAAGCACTGGGGTTTTTTCTCAAGGATCAGAGCACCTGAGCCTAAAGCCAGCTTCAGCTCCTGAGATTGCACCTGGACACTTGCCAGCAGTGTGAAAGTCTCACTTCGTGTTTGGGTGCTTGGGGATGGTTTCCTGAACTCAGCTCTCATTCTCGTTTGGGTTTTCTTGGGGGGTGGGTAGATGTTATTGCTGTGCTTCGTTGTGGTTCCAAACTAGGGCCGGGGAAGGAAAGCCCAGGCAAAGCTGCCCATACCCAAGCCCTGCCAGGTGGAGGGCACCCTGGTTGCAAACCCCCCACACCGCCTCTTAGGAGCTGCTCCAAACCATGCCACTCATGCAGCTACAGTCTAGGGCACCCACAGGAGCCCACAGCCAGCTGGGAACAGTGCCTATCTTACAGATTTCCAGCCATGAAGCACCCTTTCTTTTAGCTCATCAGTGCGTAAGAGTTGCCTTATTGATTCTGTTAAAAATCATACACTTCCCTTTCCAATATGATTTTTGCCGAGCTTGCAGTCCAAACCACTGCTAGACTGAGGGTTCCTGCATTAACACATCTCTCTTGCCCAGGGACAAACTGACAGACAACACTCAAAACTTCCATTCCTAAATAAACTGGACAGTTGGAATGGTAAAAACCTTTAATGAAATAGAACATGTCTTGCCATCCTTAAGACATTCCCCTGCCCTCTTCAGTACCACCACCCCCCTCAAACCATGGATGTCAAAAGCAGGAGCATGGTCTTCCAAGAGCAGCTCTCCTTATGCCCAGCACAGGAGCAACCTCCCCACCCCAGCCTCTGCTAGGGTTAGCGCCCACCATTCTTCCATGCAAAACAACACGAGAAACACATCATAACAAATTCTTATCAGAATAGAAAACTGAGTAGAAAGTTATTTTGAAACAAAGTGGCTCTACTAACACAGCGGGCTCATGCAATATTACTCTGTAGCACAGTATCACTTTAACAGTCTGGCATAGCTAAAAATCAAGCAGAAAAGACCCAGAAATACAATTGGCCTAATTCCATATTACTTGAACTTTTACTTGTCAGGCTGAAAGATTTGGGAAGTTTTCTCAGTTTACAAAAGATTCAGAACAAATCTTCTGTCTCATCCTACTATAAGCACTAGCCCTCATGGGTTAGTGGGGAAATGGAACTTTCACATAGAGAATGAAAACAAGGCCTGATTTATGGCCCCAACACTTCTGCCCTAGCAATAAACACAAAGCCTTGGTACTCTAAAGTTACACAGGTTTGGTTTCCTGTATGGTTTAGCTGAGCATGGAGTTCTTCATTTAAAAGAAGACACAATTGCGTTCCTGTGCTCATTTTCAAGCCAGTGATGATGCTCCGCTTCTCTGACCACACAGGGAGCCACAGAACACACACAGAAAGAATTGCCAGATGGTGTCATGCTACTCACCCTTACAGAAGTGAGCCTTACTTCCATTGTAGCCCTGTAGCATGGGCAATACTGGGTCACCATTGCTATTAGCTGGCCACAGCCCTTCTACTCCCATGGCAATAAAAGGTTTAAGGGTTTGAGAAATGTTGTTGTGGGTTTGTCTGTTCTTGAATTTTTGCTTGTTGTACCTGTATCAACCCACTATCAGTAGTCAATTGACTACAGTCTAATTTGTTTAAGCTATAATGGCAGAACTGTCTAGCAGTTTAATGTTTAGTCTTCAGCTTTAGATTAGTTTCATATAACTTCCAATTATTACACCAAAACATTATACCATATACGTTCATGGATTTGATAGCCTGTTAATAATACTGAATTTGTAGACCAATCAAATATGTCAGCTGTTTTGAAATCTGCACAAACAGCATCAAGCTGTCCCAACAAATCCCTCACAACCAGTATCAGTATGTCTGATTACCTGCACCAGGTGAAATAGCTGCACCATCCCATCTCAAGAAAAGATGACCCTCCACCACTGACCAGAGGCAGATAGGTGAAGATTATACAGAGAAGGGGGGGAAGATGGTAGAAAGTGTATATAATGGTTTTAATTAATAGGAATGAACAGTAATTGGAAAATTTGGCCAGTAAGTGCCCATAGCACTGTAAGTAGATAATAAAAGCTGCTTGCTATTTTGACTAGATTGCTAAAGCAATGAATTACACTAACAATACATTGCAATTCTTTGCTCCATGAGTCAAGTGTTTATTCTAAGTGTAACATTATCAGTTCTTAGAGCTGAGTGAAAAAAACACTAGTACTTAGCTCCTTTTGCTATTTTGTTCCCATTTTTTCTTCCACTGAGAATTTTCACTATTGTTCATTTAACTTTCCCTCTTCAATTATGGAATATATTTTGTGCAATCCTTTCCTGACCTTAAGACTTCAGAGGGGTTTTCAAAGGATCTACTGACTTGTTGATAGATCCACACTACAATGCCTCCTCCACTGTTTTCCCCGCTCAATACATTGTGAGAATAAGAAGTTATTTTATCCCAGAAACAATTCTGCCTCATCAGTGTACACTCCAGTTGCTGTATTTGTCAATTAGTTTGCCTAAAAGAATAGCATTCAAATCTCTGGAACTAAACCAGAGGTTCAGGTGCCTTTCTCCTTTCAGAATCACATCTATTTTCCTCATCCTTACTCCCACAGTATCATTCTTTCTTGTCAGAATATTACGTGCAAGTTTCACCTCCTGTTCCTTCTGCTTTGGCACACTTTCTGCAATTCAGGCTCTTCAGCTTTTCTTGATCCTATCAGTTGAAAAGGAAAGAGGCCTTGATGGAGGTGGTTTTCTAACTAATGGATTCTCAAAGCCCAAATGTGGACGAACTACAGGGCACCAGTGGACAGCAGGGGTTCTTACCAAATGGTTCATTTCACTCTATGCATCTACCTCAGTCTCTGAGGCAACTACCTTTAGTCAGGTAAAAAGCCCCTTCCCTTGCCTGTAGAGAACACAAGGACCCTAATCTCCTGCAGTAGAAACCTTACTAAAGGGGTATTTTCTCATGAGCATTCATGATACAGCCATAAGAACATCTCCACCTACATCCCATTAGTTTCCTAACAGAACAGAACTTCAGTTAAATTTATTTAAGCTCCTTGGAACAAAATACATAACCAAATACACACATTTCCCCATGTAGATATAAATACTTCAGCATCCACATGAAACTTATGCTAAATTTAGGCTGTTCATTGCACACCTTAACAAAGCAGCAGCTGGCAACCCTTGAGAGCATGAAAATGCTATTTTAAGAGAGTCTGTTGTGTTAATGCATTCATGCTCCCACCTACAGTATGCTAACATAGTTCTAAATACACACTGATGCCAAATGCAGGTATTTAATAAAGAGATATAGAAGACCTTAACTCTAGTCCAAAGAGAAAACTGGTCATTTAACACACTCTTAAAATATGTTGTCTGTGTATGGTTTATCACAGGATTCTTCCATCCAGATTCTCTGCAGTCATTTCTCCCTGTGAGTTCAGAACATACTTGTGGGACTAGGGGTTTTGGCTTCCTTCTTCTTTTGGTTTATATGTAAATATGTTTAAATTTTTGTCTTGGAAAGCAAAGCATTTATCTCTTAACATCCCTGTTATTCAGCACTGTTTTTCCCATAGCAGACAGAAAAGAGGGATAGCACGGAATTCACATGCTTACTTTAAGCAACCATTTTTTATTTTGAATACTTGCTTACATATAGTCAATTTCCTTTCACTATACATAACGGTGATACATTGGAGACAGGTGCTAGGAATTACCTAAACAAGTCACAGAAGGTACTCAGCTGGTGAATCTATTTAGAGAACTCGCTGCGAACCAGTCAGCTACCCTCCATGCTTAATGGAAAAACATGTTGAAAGCTATGGGTACTGCTTGAGGCCAGCAAACCTGGTTCTTTCTATCACGGATCTAAATGATCTAAGATAACTGAACAAATACAAAAACCCACTTAGAAACTTCCTCCAGATTGATAAATATGTATTCATCAATACAATACCAAATGCTCATTTTCTAGACAGTTTTTGACTGCAAGACAGTCAAATGAGAGGCTTTAAGCACATACTCTGTTCGAAGATTTCCTTTTGTCTACCTCAGCAAGGAAAACGCAGAGTTGATCAGTACACATCAGACCTTACCCTAAACTAAGCAGAGCTTATGCCCCTCTGCTGATGTTCTCTACTGATAATCTGTTTATCTGTCATAGTTTACAGACAGACACATTTGGTACTACCTATGACTACAGGCTCACTTTATGCTGTTTGAAACAGAGCTCGTATGTAGTCTCCTCTGAATAAATGAGGAGGAACCCTCCCACATTGTATACCTAGTGTTATTTTCCTGGGTTGTATGTTCTTTCTTATACAAAAGGCAGCCCTGGTATTTTATTTTTTTTCTAGGATTTGTCTAACATAACACAGATGAAGTCTGTTAGGTCACTTACCATCATTCAAAAAACTTGTTAGAGAAGAAACTACCAAGAAATTACACTGGAGTAGTTTGATTGGAAGGACTAGTGCTTATAACAAGTCCTTTGGCAGTAACAAAATGTTTTATGAGCATGAAAGAATACATGAAAGAACACAAGATCCATCACTAAAAGCTAAATTCAAGTACTTCTTCAAAACAAAGCAGTACACAGAGAAAAGGCTGGGGGGGAGCAGCTTTTGTACGAGAAACAATGCCTACCCATGCAGAGAATAGTGGTAAGCTCATTCTAGAGTTTTGGAGAAAATATAAAAAATTTCAGGTAACCAAAAAAGAAAAATCCACACACCACAAACCAAATAAAAACCAAAACCCCAAACCAAACAACCCAACTTACTCTTTCTTTAGAGTACTACTTTTGTTTTATTGAAAAAAAAAATACTTAGAACACTCAGACTACATAAGAAACCCTGATAATCAAATATACAGAAGATTAATGACAAATAACAAATATCTGCATCAAAACAATGAAGTAACAACAAGTGTTTTTAACTGGTATTTTGCATTTGTTGTATACAAATACACCAAAGCAAATACACCAAGCTTTGCTTAAAGGTGCGCTGCTGCCAGCCTTGTTTGCTTGCCTTCCCTTGAGGCTGTAAATCGTATGACCTTCAATACTGCATGAAAAACCATTTTATCTAATGTAACGTAGAAAAATACTTCAAAAACATTTTTAGCCTCGAGCTTGCAGAACAAAACTATAACAACCACCCGATACACACACTGCACCGTTCCGGTCTCTGAGCACAGGTCAAGCAAAGGCTGTGGAGACAAGAGAAAGGACACATGTTGTTCTTTCAGACATCACAGGGTTTTTTTTGTTTTATGGGTTTAGGAAGGAGATGCACACCCAGTTCAGTACATACTGAATAGCAGGGGAGTCAAGAAATAAATGCTTTACTTTCCAAGACAAAAATTTAAACACATATTTACATATAAACCAAATGTCTACAGAAATTTGATTTAAAAAAAAAAAGTTTCTGTCTGTTGTATTCTTTTAACAGAAAGGAGAGGAGCTCCTTGTCTGTGATGAAGACTCATAATCAGCATTGTTCTACTACAGAACAAGCCAATGTCTTTCAGTTCTCTGCACAGCTTTTGCAGTGCTCCCACACACTCCAGAGGATTGCAAGGACAAATTTCACCTACACCATTCTCCTGCAGTTAAGCCTCCTGCACGTAATTTCTTTCAGATTCCTTTGTGAAGAGAAGCTATACTCAATTCAACAGCAGCAATTTTTGTCTCCAGAACATTTAATATAGTGTATACCTGTAAACAGGGAAAGATACTCTGCTATAAACATTACTTGACAATATAAAGAGCAAGTGCAGGTGTCAGTAAGTGCTCAAATTTTATCTTGCATAACCAATCTTGTCTGTGTCTATTCCTGCTAGCTTGGAAGTATCTAATACTTCCAATATAGGTACTACAAAGTATCTACTACTGTAGCTTGGAAGTTCACTCGACTCTAACATTAGCTCTCCACACTTTCTCAGATCTTTAATCATCTCTAACCTTGGTGTCAGATCCTCACATTCAGCTTCTGCTGACAACCATCAGCTTTCAGAGCCAAGTTCATTACACTATTTGCTCCCAGCTCCCCCCACCTGCAACCAGAGGTTTTCAGTACAGCAAAATGTTAATTTTATTATACGATATTTCAACAGAAAGTAACTGCAAAAGCATTAAGTCAGTTTATATGAAAGATACAAGAGACATGACTAAAAGTGAGAATACCGAGAAGTTAATCAGAACTAATTAGAAAAAAAACTTTTAATTACTGACAGACATGAATAGGAATCTTAACACTGTGCTTGATAAAACACAGTGCCTGGCAATCAGCTTGAAAATGCTAATCACTGTTGAAGGAAAAGTTACTGAAAATCTTACATAATACAAGATATTAATAGGATGACGTATTACAGCTCATGTTAAACCACAAAGAGTTGATCTGGATGAAATAAACTGTTTGTAGAAATTATTTAACGATATTAAGATCTCATGGTGGCGATTTAAACAAAGAATGATCTAAGGTTAAATCGTACCTTCAGTAGCATGTCTTCCACAACAGCTCGACTCTCAAGAGTTAAAGGTTCATCTTCAGTAACAGCTTGCTTTTCTGAGGATCCTAGAATGTAACTGACATGCTACTAGTTTAGATCATGCACTTTTCATTCTGAAGGCAAAAAGCCAAACGTAATACTCACCCACTGTTCTCAATGATTACAAGATCATGGTTAATACACCAAAGTATAAGCATGATTCCAGTGACAACAAACATGAATATTTGTTAATCCTATAAACAAACTATGGCAGAATGAAGACAGTTTTAAGCATAGAAATACCAAGATACTGTTATTTTACAAAAGCTGGAACTTCAAGAGACAGTCATGAATTCTGGTGCTACAGGATAAGGTGAAAAACCCCATACATTAAGAAGAGCGTAGCACTAGAGAGGAGAAATAGCCATCACCATTACTGTCAAAGAAAATGCCATTTTGCAGCCACATTAGTGTTTCGGGGTATTTTACTGCCACGGAAAAAGCAAAGTACCACAGCTGTGGGAAGAGATTAAAAAGCCCTAACTGCCCCATGTAGGAAGGTGAACATCCACATAGATACAGCAGTAAAAATTAGAACTTAACAAAAAGCAGACACATTAAAACTAACCCAGACAGAAAGAAACCTATCACTGCTTGATAGAGCAAAAGATAAAAGCACTTTGGTGTGGAGAGTTAGGTCAGGATATAGGTATTGAAGAATATTTTAATACCACTTTTAAGTAGTACAAGCTAATTAAAATCAATACAATACCACATGATCATTTTCTAGACAGTTTTTGACTGTAAGACAGCCAAATGAGAGGCTTTAAGCACATACTCGGTTTGAAGATTTCCTTTTGTCTACCTCAGCAAGGAAAAAGCAGAGTTGATCAGTACACGTCAGACCTCACCCTAAACTAAGCAGAGCTTATGCCCCTCTGCCGATGATCTGTTTATCTGTAAAAGCTTACAGACAGACACATTTGGTGCTACCTATGACTACAGGCTCACTTTATGCTGTTTGAAACAGAGCTCGTATGTAGTCTCCTCTGAATAAATGAGGAGGAACCCTCCCACATTGTATACCTAGTGTTATTTTCCTGAGTTGTATGCTCTTTCTTATACGAAAGGCAGCCCTGTCACTTTGTTTTTTTTCTAGTACTTGCCTAACATTACGCAGATGACGTTTTCTAACACTTCAGTACTACAATGCTAACAGCAGCTATATAGAAAATCACTCTGGAACAAAGCAGCATAAACAGTTACCTCTAGGCATGCCACTAATATTAACAGGAGCATCCCCCAACACTATGTCTGGCGGGCAAAATTTAGCTGTCAGTCTTATCAATAAAAATTCTGCCTTTACCTCTCAAGAGAGTCAACACTGAAACAGAACAAATCCCTCTTGTAGTCAAGATGCTTTGGGGTGTATCTGTAAATGCTGCCAAGTACCATTGAGCAGCCAGAGCAGAATAACACTTCTATCATGCTGTAAGAAAAATACACAACGTTTAATCGGGAGAAATGAAACAGGAACACCTTTCCCCACACTTATTAAGAAAAATAAATAAATAAATTTTTATCATGTTCTTTAGCACCACAAACTACTGCTCCAGGCCCAGCTCCCGGCCCTGCCCGGGGGCATCCTTGCCCACCAGCAGCACCGCTTAGCGCGCTGTTCCTCACCGCCTCCCCAGGACCTCCGGGCTCCCTCAGGAGAGGGAAGGACGAGCCCAGGAGGAGAAGTCCCCCCCACACACACGCCCCCGGGCAGCAGCCCGTGCCTCACCATCCGCTCTCTCCGGGCCGCTTGGAGAGCTGCCGGTCCACGTCCACCGAGACGCTGCTGGCCGCACCTGCGCGGAGGGAGAGAGGGTAGAGGTGACCACGGGCAGGGGAGCAGGGCAAGGCGCGGCGGGGCGCAGCGCGGTACTCACTGCTCAGGAGGATGCAGCCCTCCTTCTCGTCGCTGGTCACCCAGCTCAGCGTGTCCCCAACCGGCCGCCTGCACCCAGCGCACAGGAACACCATGGGGTTCATATCTGCTTCATCCTCGTCCCCGACTATCAGCTGCTGCTCCGCCGGGGGCGGCGGCAGCAGCGGCGGAGTAGAATGAGGACGAGTAGGACGAGGACAAGCAGAATGAGGACGAGCAAAATGAGGAAGAGCAGAATGAGGAAGAGCAGAATGAGGAAGAGCAGAATGAGGAAGAGCAGAATGAGGAAGAGCAGAATGAGGAAGAGCAGAATGAGGAAGAGCAGAATGAGGACGAGCAAAATGAGGAAGAGCAAAATGAGGAAGAGCAAAATGAGGAAGAGCAGACTGAGGAAGAGCAGACTGAGGAAGAGCAGACTGAGGAAGAGCAGACTGAGGAAGAGCAGACTGAGGAAGAGCAGAATGAGGAAGAGCAGAATGAGGAAGAGCAGACTGAGGAAGAGCAGAATGAGGAAGAGCAGACTGAGGAAGAGCAGACTGAGGACGAGCAGACTGAGGACGAGCAGACTGAGGACGAGCAGAATGAGGACGAGCAGAATGAGGAAGAGCAGAATGAGGACGAGCAGAATGAGGATTAGCAGAATGAGGACGAGCAGAATGAGGACGAGCAGAACGAGGACGAGAGGGACGGAAGGGTCTCCACCCGTCGTCCATGTCCAGCAGCGACAGGGAGTCCTCCAGCTCCTGCGTAACACCCGAGAACGAGTAGCGCCTGCCCGCCATGATTCAAACAGCCCGCGCCGGAAGCGGCAGTGACGGTTTCCCGCGATCGCGCCCGGGCGGGAAAGAACCCTGTGGCCACGCCCCGGCGGGATGCCGGGGGTCGGCGGTCAGCTCCGATGGGCCTTGGCTGGGCGCCCAGCGGAGGCGCTGTAGCGCTGCAGCGGCTGGGAGCATGGGAAGGATGCGGATGCCGATCGGCGCTTTGCAGGCTGCCTTGAAGCGGACTGGCACCTTCCGCGCGGTGTTTGTATGCCTTGCTCGCGATTCGGAGTGGTGTCTCGCTGCATACCGTGCCCTGGAGGCGCCCCGGGAGAGCTGCTTTCCCTCCCAGAGGCCTGGCCCCGTGAGCAGCCCTGACCTCCGCAGCTGCAGCATAGTCAAGGGGGCTTCAGAGGTGCAGCAAGCAGTAGGCTGAGGGGCTCTTTCGCGTTCAGCACAAGCGGCTCTGTGAGGCTGGATGAAGCCCGTTTGCGGTGTTGCTGAGGCACAAAGTTGCTGTGGGGCAAACACCTTCCACTGGTCTGCCTTAGTGGTGTTCGGGAGCCTGCCTTTCCCTCCATAGCCTGCGGGGTGGAGGGAATGGAGAAGTAGCAAAGCAAACTACATGGTTGTTCCAATACATCATTCATTTTTGAAGCATTTCATAGGATCTTGCCTACCTCTTTCTATCAGGGCAGATCCAGAAATGTCTTTCAGCCTAGCTGAGTGCAGCAGCTCCAGAGAGCGCTGCGTGGCCACAAGTTTGTGAGAGGGGAGGGGACGTGACCCAGCTGGCACTTGTCCACCCCATTCTCAAGCGACTTGACAGCCGCCTCGGGTTAAAGTATGTAGAGGATAACGTGAATGCCCGCCAGGAAGCGAGGATTACTGCAATGACGTGTCCGTCAGACATCAGTATTCATTGCTGCTAGATGGTTTTTAGTATCAAGGCAGTCCTTGAGCTGCGGGACCCCAGAGTGATTTACACAGGCATCAGTTATGCAATCCCTTTCTGAGAGCGCTGAAGTACAATGAAAAAAAGTATTTGGTTGGAGTTCTGAGCTGGTTTAAAATGCACTACTGAAATGGCTAACAGAACAAACTCCTCTGAGTACTTCTGGTCATATGAATATTACTGGGATTACATAGATCCAATTCCAGTAGATGGAAGCAAGTTGAAGGTTAATAAATGTAAGTATTGGAGAGCAGTAGGTGCTAATCTAGACAGTAAAAGTGTTGCATTGCTTGTCTCACTGACTTTTTGGGGTTTTTTTGCAATAGAGCCCACGCTGGGTTGCATGTGCGTGGTTTGTGTGGATGAGTGCCTGCCTTCCAAACTGACTGTGCTCTAATAGTAGTTATTACTAATACTGAAACTCTTTGCTTTATCTTACAGTATTTAAAACTATAGGACTGCTAATTTACTTAGAAGGACAGATTTTTTGAGCCGTTCGCTAAGTGGAAACCGAATGACTTTCAAACCTGTAGGTTTGGGTGCTGGTTACCTGTATGCTGCAGTCAGAAAGGTTAGCTAAATGAGCAGTTTTCCAGAAGACTGTCGAGTTTTTATCTTGGGACATGAAGCTTACATTACAACTGATAAGCGTTCAAAACCTTAGTAAAAGAAGAAGTATATGTTTCCATTAGCCAAGAACAACAAGCTGAAAATACATTGTTACCTTTCCTCCTCTGATTTAGTGATACTGAACTGTAAGATAAAGTAATATGCATATTTGTCAAAATACTTTATTGCCGTGGAAGCTGATTCTGCTTGGTTTAGAAGTTAATTTTCAAGGTATATTTATAATGAAATAGCATTCACCGAATTCACCCTGCAACAGTTAATTTGTTTCACCCTTGTTTTTGCACAATGAGATAGCGGTGTCTTTTTATGGTTATTTAAAGTGGCAACTAATATTTTTTTTTCCTAATGTAGCTGCATTTTTTTCATGTTTTGATAAGATAAAGTAACAGCCTAAGTCATGAGGGATTAACTTAACCAAGTGTAGCTGGCTGGATTGACGAAGATCAGGGGAGAGCGGATGGGCATGTTTGAGTCATTTAGGCTATAGGCAGCATTCTCCCTCGATTGCTGCCATGTCTCTGCCTGTGGTTGTATCCTCATTTGAGTGACGCAGCTTTACTGGGTGCTATTTAGTTTACTGAAGACAAGTATGACTGTTCACATGTGGTTTCAGACACTAAAACTGCTTTCCCCAAGGTTATTAGAGTGGTCTGGTCTGTGAGAAAAGCATGATAGTGTTTCAAAATATTTTTGTGTCTCTCTAATTAGCAGTACATGTAACTGTCTTTCTAATAGTAAAGATTCAACTGAGCAATGCCCAGAGCTCTGTGCCCTTTGTTTGCCTTTTGAGAGCAAGAATAAGAAAAGCGAGTAGAAACTCCTACTCTACTCTGCCTCTAGAAAAGCTTTTCTGTCCACTCAGGTAAGCCCGGGGTTAAAAGCACCATGCCTTAAAGAACGTTTTGTAAATACCCACATCCTTCCAAATCTTGCTCCACCATACCGTAAAGCAACACTGGTGCAGAGCAGCTTCTGTAATTCGCTTGATTTTAAAGTTAGAGTAGATTATTACCCCTGAATTCCAGTGGGGAAACCCCAAACTGCTGAGTGAAGCTAGCTGTAAGTCCCCAGCATGTGGCTGGCTTAGCAAAAACAAACCAAACCAACAAAATGAGGAATCTTTCCTCTTTTTCTCATTAATAATGCCTTTCTAACATTTGGGTTGCCTGATACATAACAAGAGGTGGAATTTGTGTTACAGCATTTCCCTCTATGGCAGTTTATAGGATATTTCTTCTTACCCTTCTGCCTGTTCTCTTGAAACTCACAGAAGCTGTGCTTTTGGGAGAAGATGGTCACCCTTTATTACATTTAAACTTGTTGATAGTTTCATGATTTCAATTAAAAAAGCAGAGTAAACCTATCTCTTACAGATTTATATATATTTTTTTTTAATCTGTTCTCTTTCCCTAAAGAAATAAGGAAGTCTGTCACCTTTCAGGTCCTTTTGTATCCTAAGGAGATGATTTATGCTTTGTGTTTATGCTTCTCATCTGCTCCTAAACTAACTCAAGCTTGATCTAGATAGAAAGGAGTGGAGATCTCAAAAATAGGAAATATCTGCAAATTCCTACAGCTGGTGACTAGATGATAGAGGAAGAACATTGTGAGTGAAAACCTTTACTGACCAAAAGGCTGCAGGGTGAGATCATGCCCTATTGGACACCAAAGAAAATCACTTTTGAGCTCAGCTTTGGGAAACAAAGCTGCAGGGAAAACAGATTTCTGTGCCCAGCTTCCAGACAAGAAAGAGAAAGATACAGGCGTAGGGTTTGGGTTGTACTTTTTTTTCCCCTCAGCAGGTTAATGTTAAGGCAATTTTAGTTCCCTGGGGAATCTGTTTATTTCTAGGCAGCTTGTCAAAATGGAATGCTGCTCCATTATTTGTGTCTTTTAAAGAGCCCACGTTGCCTATACCACTTACTAAACGAAACTAAAAATATTGTTGTTGTTTTTTTTCTGATAGCCAAGGAAGTGAAACTTTTTATTTCTTTTTCTTCCTATAAATATTTTTCATGTCAGCAGTCTAAGAGGAATGGAGACAGCATCACCTTAGTGCTTTTATTCTTCCTTCTGCAGACACCAGTGGGAGAACAGTGAGTTACAAGTTATAAAGAAAACACCAAGGAAAACAGTTCCATAGTTGGATAGTTCTTTCCTTGTTTTGAGTAAAAGCACTAGCCAAGCAATGATTATACTTTGTAGGTTTTCCTGTCTTTGTAGTAGTATTTACATTCTTATACCTTCAAAAGCCACTGTTAGGTTTAATGTCTTCATGTGCTTGGAAGTGTGTAGAAGCAATAAGTTCAGCAACTCTTTGCGCTTTGCGCTGAAGATGAAATGTGATAATTTTCCCTCAGATAGACAAAAACGTTCCAAGTTTACCAAAATGTAGGATACCTCTGGGATCACAATAACCGCTGTGTTGATATTCCAGAGGGCGTCTGCTGACTGACTGCAATGGGACCTGGACGTTTGTTTAGGTGCATTGCTGAATCAGCCCAAATGAATTATACTGTCGTCATGACCCCTAGGATGGGATTATAGCTCCCTAATTCAGTTTTGCCTGTTTTGGTTCTTTCATTTAATGTAAAAACAGAGACCTGAAGCTCTGCACTTTCTTTCCTCCAAAATGGCCTGTCCCTGAAGCATTGTGAGACTGTGTGTGTCTCATGAAAAGGAATCTAAATCCAGCCATAAAGTCGTGGTCTTGCTTCCTATTGATAGTGTTATGCAGCTCTCTCCATTCTGTATAAAAATAATAAAATGCTTAATTGGCCCATGAACTAATAGGCTATTTAAAAACATATGCACACACACAAAAGGTGACTGTAAAATTTAGCAATAGAAAAGCTTTTTCTAGATTGTTAAAGTAAGTTATTCCAGTTTAAAAAAAAAATCAAAGTGCATGACTTTGAAAACAGGAAGTTTCTGTTTATCCCTCAAGAGTTCAGACTCGCCCTGAGACCCGGAACAAATTTGTTTAGCCTTAGTGAATTCCATGAATCGTCTTAACTCTGCTTTTAAAAGATACAACCAAAATAGCTCTAATTGATAGGGAATTCTATAAATTCAAAGTATTCTTTTCTGTTCTGATGACTTTGAACAGTTCAAAACTTTGAGCTTTTCAAAATACCCATGGACCATGATCTTGTCCCCTAATTTTCCCTTGAGCAGTTTGGGTGGTCCAGTAGCATCTCATCACTTTTTCCCGTAATGTGTTTGGGAAGAGCAGGTCAGAATATATATAATCAATAGAATCACAGAATGGTTTTGGTTGGAAGGGACCTTAAAGATCATCTAGTTCCAAATGCCTTCTACAGGCAGGGACACGTTTGCTCTCTCACCTCCTAATTTACCATTCTCTGAGTTAAAGCTCAGTAAAACTTTTTTAACAGAGGAAGAATAAAATAAGCTAACCCTCCACATTCTCATTTCTCAGTAGCCCAACCAAAACTCACTTTATAATAGGATTCCAGCTGGGTCAGCTCTAGTTTTAGGTTTAAACGGAGCTGGGATAATTCTTCCTAAACTGTTTGTGGCTCTGATGACAGCACGTTCTGAACTTCTTCACAAAGAAACACCTAATCAAACATAGTGGACCTGATTCAGAGAACACAGTGTTTTCTGTCCTTTCAGATAGAAGATTTATTTTATCTTGGTCAATATTTGTCTCTGGAGTCAATGACCCTTCTTTTTCACCTCGGTCTAAGTGAGTAGCTGGTTATGAATTCAGGGCATTTCTTGACTTGTGCCCTGCAGAACACCCAGCCTTTTCAAGGCTTTAATTTGGACAGTTGCCACCACCACACTGATCCCAGGAAGGAGAATTGTTGAAACAGTGACCAGATGTGCTACTGGTGCTGGAATGAATTCATCCCATCCAACAGCAAGCCTGTAACTCAGGCAGTAATTTGCACAGCACCCTAGCCTTCATTCATGAAATAGTAACTCCCTTTTCTCCCTCAACCGTTTCATACTCCCATTAGCACTGGTCACCCAGATCAGTGATCAGATAATCTGTTTTTGCTTTTATTAATAAAAAAAAAGCTCTTCATCTGAATTAAGGATAATAGCAGTGGCAGGGTCTTAGGCTGGGTTAAACTATGGTTAAAGTATGGTGAGCCCATACTTTGATGCTAGGAATCCACATACTTGTTTCTTAAAGAAACCACTTGGTCCTGATAAAGCAGACTCCATTTTAAACTATTTTATGATCATTACGGAAGTATTGCAGCTGAACAGGGGAAGCTTTATTCATTCTCTTCTACTGGACTGATGTGCCGTGAGGGTCATGGGCACTTTTCAACGAGCTTTCCTTGGTATTTCTCTTGGTTTTCAGGGTTAGAATTCCCTCCCTGAAAGTGTCATCCTAAAGATCATGGGTTGTTGTACTTTTTCATCTAAGAGTAGGATTTGGCTATGCACTGGTCAGTGACGGCTCAGTCTTGAGCACCACACTGCTTACTGCGCTGTGGTTTTGTAAAAGGAACTGTACATATTACTTGCAAAGAGATAAAACTGTGAAAACCATGCCAGGTGCTCAGTATTACCATTTAAATATGTTCACTATTCTACTCACCGTCACCCCAACCTCTCCCCCAGCTCTGGCCATGCACTGTTACAGTAAACTGATAGGAGACTCTCAGGACTTCTAACAACTTGGCACTCAGATTCCTCTCTCTAAAAGGTTTCATGAAATGGAATTAATTAAATGACACACCTTTCTTACAGGTCATAAATGATACTGCTGTGTTTTATATTTGCTATGGTACCGGTGACAGAATTACTGTGTTGTGTCCACAGATTCTATTGTCATAGCCTTTTGGGTTGGGCTTGCTGCGTTTGTGACGTTTCTTTTCCTTATTTTACTGTGTATGTCCCGCTCTGGATCAACTTCAGTAAAGTAAGTACAACCAGAGATAAAGTAAGTATAGATCAGTGTGCTAAAATAAGCTGCATGAAACATTCATTCAGTGCTTCAAGTGGTCCAGCAATCACATACCACGTTTATAATTGCACCTAGAGATGGCACTTTTCATGTTATTATTTAAGTGTCTCTCAACCCACAGCTATTCACTGTTGGTTATTAGTCACTTGGGTAAAAAATAAATGCACAGCTGCTGAGGTTTGCAGGTGACAGAAACATGGGGGAATAGTAAACCACAAGGATAGGCAGAGCAGTCTGGACTGTTTGGTACACTGGCAAACAACATGCATTTTCCTTAAGCCAGTTACCATGATCACATGCTATGTAAGTATCTGTTTTACATACAGAATGGGAGAGTAACTCCTGTAAACCACACCTGAGAAGGAATCAGAATGACAGAATGGTTTGGGTTGGAAGGGACCTTAAAGATCATCTAGTTCCAACTTCCCTGCCATGGAGGGGTACACCTGGCACTACTGGTAAAGTGGGTGAACACAAGCTCCCAAAGCAATTCTCTAAGCCTTGAGCAAATGAAGAGAAAGTTTGTTACTGTGCTCAGGAAGATAATAGTATGCACACTGTTGCTTAAATTGTCCCAAGAATGCTGTGCTTATGTTAGACAGCACTCTTTAAAAGGGGTTTTAAAGAAGCTGGGAAGAATCAGAAAAAACCTCATTTGAGTTCCAGAAACACATCCTACAGTGAGAGAAATGAACTCAAGTAGTTTCTCAAGGAGCAGCGGCTCCAAGATGCTCCTTGTGAGCTGTCTTCATTTTCAGAACACTAGTGTCCACTTCAAGAGCCCCTTGATAACTGTCATGGCTGGAAGGTGACTGCACAAACTCTGATGTACCACATGTTTTATGTTAGGGTAATGACTCACTTGAACAACTTGGAGTAGAATATTAAATGGGTTGTGATTAATTCTTCTTTTCACTTGATGACTGAACAGCTGGAGAACGTGTATTTGCATTCATCCAAAAATTACTGTAAGGATGTACTGTATGGTCTATCATTCTCTGGTCTGTTATGCAGAAGGATAGGCACGCTTCTTTCTTGCCTAAAATAAGTGTATGACTCAGTCCTTAAACACTTTCTAGTTCTTGTAGGATAAAATAACTCAGTAAAATTACTGATTTATAATTGGCTGAAGATCTGAATTTTCCTTTTGGTGTTTTGTTTTGCAAATCCTGGCAGGAGTATGACAATACCTTCCTTCCCAAAGATGCCCCGTGTCTGAACTTCTGGCCTTCAGCAAAGTAAGCCCATGGTAAAATTACAAATACAGAGAGAGGATTAACCCCTTGGAAGTGTGGTTGTGAAATGACTTGGAACACCTGCCAGCCATGGATGTGTAGCATTCACAGTACCAGTCAGCTTAGGAGTGAGAAAACAGGGTCACACTGGGGTTTCTGTTGGGAGAGAATCTTCTGGAATTACCCCCAGTCCAGTTCATTAGTGATTAAAGTTTACAGGTGTGATTTTGTCACTCTCACCTGAGTACCTTCATTTGAATTTCCATAGAGTGCTGTTCAGCACTAGGGAGACAGAGTTGGGTCTGGGCTAGCGAGTACCCCAGAAAAGCATCTTCAGGCTTAGCATGTGTGCAGTATATCTAGATCTGCAGAGATCCCAGAGCCCCGCGTTTGCATCATCCAGACTGTTTTAATAGCTGGGCTTGATGAAACAGGGAAATATCCTCCAGTGGCAGGTAGAATCATAGAATAGCTTGAATTGGAATGAGCATTAAAGATCATCTAGTTCCAACCCCCTGCTAATGCACAGGAATGTTTTCCACTAAACCAGGCTGCTCAAAGTCCCATCCAGCCTGGCCTTCAATACTGAAAGGGATGGGGCAGCCACAGATTCTCTGGGCAGCCTGTTCCATTGTCTCACCAGCCCCACAGTGAAGAATTTCTTCCTAATGTCTAACCTAACTCTACCCTCTTTCAGTATGAAACTGTTACCCTTTGTCCTGTCACTACACGCCCTTCTAAAAAGTCCCTCTCCAGCCTCCCTATAGGCCCCCTTTACGTACTGGAAGGCTGCTATAAGATCTCTGTGGAGCCTTCTCTTCTCCAGGCTGAACAAGCTCTCTCACCCTGTCCTCACAGGAGAGGTGCTCCAGCCCTCTGAGCATCTTCATGGTCCTCCTCTGGACTCACTTGAGCAGGTCTGTGTCCCTCTTATGTTGAGGACACCAGAACTGTACACAATACTCCAGGTGAGGTCTCACGAGAGCAGAGGGGCAGGATCACCTCCTTGGACCTGCTGGTCACACTTCTCTTCATGCAGCCCAGGATACGGTTGGCTTTCTGGGCTGGGAGCACCTATTGCTAGCTCATTTTCAGTTCTTATCGACAGAATAGCCAATCTGTTCTAGTAGAATGTTTCCATCTGAAACCTCCGTTAGTGAAAACAGAGGCTGCATAAATACCTCACTGTTGCCAGGCACATCCCTAGTCTCCTAAAAGATTGCAGACCCTGTCCTATGAAGGTAGCTGCAGCAGATGTGCCTGGTGGAGATGCAGCGCCCACTGATGTGCAGCACCCACCTGTTGAAGGGGAATGTAGTTCTAGCACTGCCTGTGATTTTGAACTTTGCCAAGGACAGGTTTCTGTTTGCAGCTTTCTACATTTGGTTTACTTTGTTTGCTGCTGGTTTTTCTGGCAAGCACACTTACTGCAAACAAGGATGCTGAGCAGAAAATTCAGCTCAGCAGATTCGGCAGAGGTTCAAGATTAGGTCACCAGCAAGCAGAGGGAAATGGGTATAACATGGCAGTAAAAAGGAGCACTAATATTCTAATTTATAGGCACCCTAAGGCCTCTGGCATGCTCACAAAAGGTAACAACAACAATAAAAAGGCAACTTGCCCAAATAAACCACGAAGCAGGAGGCAAGCTAACAATACAAGAAATACATGGAAATGGACTTAAAATTACAGAGTAACACAGGCATGTTCCCATTAATTTACTGTTCCTAAAAAAAGATGGCAGGAGTCTGTGTACATGGAAATCTCAGAGTGCTTGGAAGACTTAAACAAAAGTTGTTAGGTTCTGGGGTTTTTTTGGTTTGGTTTGGTTTGAATTTCACTTCTGCATTATGTTACTGAGTGAAATACTTGGATTTAAAATATCCATATTTATCCCTAGTATGTATGTTCAGTTTTGTCCATCGAAAGGGCTGTTATAAGCAAGGAAAGTCTAGGGATATTTTGTGGCGAGCTCAGGAATCATTAATGGAAAGCAGTGTTGGATGAAATTTGCTGAGGCTTTGAAGTAATCTTGTCTTATCATTTCTTCTGATCTTGAAACATGCTGCAAGAAAACAATTTTAGGACTGAGGAGAATATTCAAACATGCCCAAACTTGCCCTTAATTGAGTTCCATGTGGTTTTTAACCCCCACTCCAATTCCACTTCTTCTGATTCCTGCAATGAAATGAAGTGGGGTGCCTGAAAGAAGTTCTTCCCATTAACTTCCACCATCCTCCCCTGTTGTCATCTTTGTTATGCAATCCATCCATTACCCTTGGCGTGACAATCATCTAATTTCTGCACTGAAATCTCCTGTCTCTTTTCCTGTGATAATTGTGATACATTCACCCAACAAATGCACATTCACGTCACTGGTCAAGGCTGGAGAACTTTTACCTTCACTGTTCCTGTGCTCATCCATCTCTCCGTCAAGCCTAGGGGCATATGGGGCAGCGTGTACTCTTCCAGCTTGCTCAACTGCCTGGTGAAACAAGCGTGCTTTCAAGTCTGGCCATTCATAAGAGCGTACCTTCTTGCTTCAGTTTGGTGTTGAGCAAACCCCACTGCTGCCTGTCAGCTGTCTATTGTCAGCTGGATCTCTGTGGGTCCCTGAAGATTAGGTTTTGGCCTTGTATAAGGAGCAGTAGTTGTATTGCTTTCACCACTCTCTGTGCCAAAGTCTTACTATTTTGGCCAGGGTATGTCAGATACCACAATATGGTCTGCTGAATTTTACCCGCATCTCCACACAGAAGTCAGTGCTAAAGGATCTTCTGAAAGGTATATCAACACTAGATCTACTTATGCCACAGCATAATCCTTAGACACTGAGAAATTCCAGACTTGAATCCATGATCCGATTGCACCACATTCTTCTCTGCAATAGAAAGCAATTTGGTGCCAAGTCAGAGTGAGTTCAGGCAAGGGGAGAGGACTGATGCTTGCAAGAGAGCTGTATGTAGCAAAGAATCCACGTCCCAGTCCCTTTTGTCACACATCCCTACAGAAATAAATGAAGAAAAAAGGTTTGGGGCATGGGACCAACTGTTTCAAATGCATGCCAAGGCAGTTGATTACCACACTGCTATAGTCAGAGCCAGTATTAACATTTGGTTCAGCTACATTTCCTCCCATCCAAACTGATACAGGAAAATACAGGTTAGTGGCTGGAGGCAGTTCCCAACCAAGGCTTGGAACTTCATGCAGTGGAAGGGAGCAGGGAAAGTTCCTTCCTGGACCTTTCAAGAGGGGACACCGGTTTCCTGACAGCCGTGACTGAGGCCACTGTGGACATCCAGAACCTTCTGGCTATTGCTTTCCTACCAGACCATGTAATACAGGGGAAAAAACCAGGGTACCCAGACAGTTGGAAGATCTGCATGTCTCATCCCTTGTCCATGTTTCTTGCTGCCATAGTAACCTCAGGGAGGCTCAGTCAAGGGACTCTGACATGAGCCTTGCTGGCTTCAGACAGATTTCTGGCAATAAGAAACACCATTCAGTGTTTATATATTTGTTTTCCTTTGGCTACCACCAACTTTTGCCCATCGCTTCTTGGGTATATGGTAATATTGTCTGAAGATACAGCTTGCCAAACAGAGATGTGAGACTTGGCTTGAAAACACTTGCTCTGCAGCCAACTTCTTTCTCAGTTTGCAGGTGAGCATTTCCTTCATGGACAGATAGATAACCACTGATGTGGTGGACAGAATGTACAATGTCCGTGTGCTCTTTCCATTTTTTTCCCTGTCCAGGTCAATTGCAACAGTTGCTGCATTCCTGGAACTGGGGAACTATTTTGGATATTTGATAGCTCAGGGGTTTCGGTACCTAGGACAGAAAAAAATCTGTGGCAATATCCTAGATCTCACATGAGGGCAGGTAGTTCTCAGGGGTTGTGGTTGGTTTTTCTTTCTTTAGCTTACCTTCAAGACTGTGATATTCATTAGTGAATTCAATATAACCACCTTATACTACAATCAAAAAAGTACCTATTCCTGCGCACAAAGGCATTGAATCTCACACTCCAGGCACCATATTTGGATGACCATAAGATGTGTCATAGTTCTACTCGGCATGCTACCTTGTCTTCAGGGAGGGGAAATCCTTTTGCATACTACAGAAGATCCTCATGAGAGGTACTTCTCTGGCTAAGCATACCATGATCCTGTTTTCTACTTTTGTAAAGCAGTTTCTGCTGTTCTTTACTTTATCCAGCCTTTTCTTTCCTAGCATAGTAGACTGTTCCCTGGCATCAAGGTAAATTCTCTGTCTATAAGTTCACTTAAGGTACACTCAACTGTGATCTGTACCTACTGTCTCTCACTGGTGGTAATCACATATTCTCACACCCAGGTATCTTGAACTTTATAACCAAGATTGGGTAAGAGCTCAGAAAGAACCCAGTTTCTCAGTCGTACTTAAATGTCATATCTCTCACAAGACCAGTATTTGAGGTCTACATAACTTCCCTGCATAGATTACAGCATCATTCCTTGTGTCAGAAGAAGCTCAGACTGCCAGGTCTTTTCAGCTGGCTTCCCACATACGGTGTTCCTGGGGATCTAGCCCAATTTCTCCCCAGTAGTTTTTGAATTTAATCTCAAACATCAGATAATAAATCTTGCTATTCCCAAGCTCTGATTTCAAGGGATACAGCTGCCTTTCAGACCTCCATCATGACAGAGCTTTCTCTTTCTCTTGCCAGAACCAGCTCCCTTTGATGTGAGCAGCTTCAGACCCACAGGGGCAGAGGCTGTTAAAGCTGTTAGCTAGGGACTGGCAAAGCCTGTTACCAGACTTTGGTCACCAGAGCTCAATACAGCGTCTTCACAGGGAAGTGTTCTCATTCCCGTCATCTAAAGAAGCACACTCCATACCTCTTGGCAGGTATCATGCCACTGGAGAGAGGTCTGGGATTGGTATCGCGCTTGGTGTGGTGCTGCTGAGCTTGTTCAGAGATAACTGATCTCCAAGTGAAAAACAGCTAGCTGGGGTTTGTATAGCACCAGGTGCTGCGTGAACTCAGAGCCAGGAATAGAGGCTGCTTGCCAGTAGCCAGTGTCCTTCCAGAAATCCCATGCACTGAGACTGCAGTTGAGATGGATGTGAGGTCAGAACTTACCCTCTGTGGCTCAGACATTCTCCAAGTCTGGTGCAAACATCCAGCCAGATGGACTGTGCAGTGGGCTGCACTGCTCAGGTACCAGGAAGCAGGCTGTGTTAGCATTAAGGTGCTCTCGGTTGCTTTCTGAAGTTCTCCCTAGTTCTTCATGAAAAATGAAAAGATGGGGCTTTTTGCTTTAAAACTGTTACACAGCTTGAAGTGACACAACAAAGCTTCCATCTAATAGCGGCCACTCAGATACTGACAAGTGGTAACTGTCAATTGAGTGAAAGAACTCTTCTCCCATGCATTTGAGTAGTGTCCTGTGAGCAACTGTATTATCAAATCCAACATTATCTCCTCTCAAAGGGTGCAGAATGCCCAGCCCAGGCAGTCCTGAGATTATGTCAGCTCACTCTCAAGGGACATAAACTAAACCACAGACAACTCATGCACCGGAGGTTTGAGAGTGCTGCCCGCTGTGGGCAGGGATGCAGGCTCCCAGATGTCTCTGCCCAGGTACAACTCGCACAGAGCTCTCTGCATAGAACAAGTGCTTGTATTTAAGTTGTTCAGGGTTTCTCGTTTCTGTGCCTAGTTTAATCACAAGGAAGATGCCTTGGCACTGCATCTTCCCTTAACTGATAAACTTCTTCAGTAAAATTAGGGATAAATGTGTATTTGCATTAGAAAAATATTATAGTCATTCATTAGTGAAGAAGGCCGAAATGTGATAACTGATTTTTAGTGACAGTGATTTTGAGACAGATATTTACCACACTGTCTATCACACTGTGAAAATTCAGAATCGCAGCATCACCTACTCCAGCCTTTCAAAGATCAGATCCGTCCCCAGGAATCCATAAACGCAAAATATCAGCTCTACGTTTTTTCTGAATAGCTCAAGTTTTTCTGTGTGCCAAAATTCCCTGGTTTTAGGAGATTAGTTTATGAAAAATCTGAAGTTCTCAGTGAAAAATATTTTTGCCAGGGTTGAGGCTTTAAATTCAATATATTAATATTGTTTGAATAGGTCCATCACAGCTAGCTGTCCAGTCTGTACTATATGACCGTTTGCTCCTTCTTATATCACGGTATCTTTATCTGCATGTTTAATTCAGAGTGACTTTACGTTTACTTCCAGATTGCTGATTAAAAAGCTGAACAGGATGGGGTGGGTGCTTATGGAGTCCTGCTAGAAACAGCTACAGTCAGAGATCATTCTACAGTTACTCTTTGAGAAGCCAAATTCATACAACACCTGTTTAATGGGGCTTGTGTATAGTCCTTTTTAAAGAAGGCAGTATGGAATACAAAGTCAAATGCCTTGCTGCAGTTTAAATAGCTCCATACATCCTCCAAATTGTGTTCCCCTGAAGAAATGGCATCAGACATTTTTCACCAGTGTGGTTTTCTGTAACACCACGCTGTCTGGAACGAGTCTGTCTGTCCTTTGAAACACTTTTTCAGTTGTATCTTATCTTAGCTTTAATTCCATGATTTTGCCTGGGGCTGAGGTCAGTTGCACTGCTTTCTAGAGACCTGGTTTGACCCATTCAGTCTGCGAGTACTGGGACACCAGGGCTCTTCCAGCCTCCTCAAACTTCCCTGCTGTTCCAGGGATGGTTAACAATTAACTAGAGCTGGACAGAGTTCTCCTCAGACAGTCTCCAGGCCTCAAGGATGCAAGTTCTGTAGATGATTTTCAAGTGCTTAATGGACTGGAAAGACAGCATCCTGTTTGGTAAGAGTATTTTTGTCTTGTTTCTGTCAAAGAGAAGAGAAAGCCCTTGAACATGCCTGCAACATAGCAAAGAAAACCCAAGTCTGCCTGCCTGCAGGGGGCCTGTTGCTGAGACTTTGGGGTTTTGTTTTGGTTTTTCGATTTACCACTAAGCAAAATCCCTGTTGTGTTAGTCTTGTCAGGCACAGATACTTTAAGCTTTCATCAGCAATTAATCAATACAAATTGGAGGCTATAAAGTTTATATTTCTCCAAAGTATTAAAAATAATTATTTTCTTTTTAATCCCATTTATTTTATTGTATTTTTGTTTAGATTTTGGTTGTAATGTTTGTCTAACTACTGAACCATTGGCTTTTAGTCAAAGATGTCTTCTTTCTTGTTTCTGAAGCCATGGCTCCAGGCAAAAGTTTTCCATTTTAATTCTCACTTTTGTGTGAGTTTGTATGTTTTTCTTCCCAATGTAATTTTCCTCCCCACCTTTGAAGCCCTACGGATATAGTAGTAATCGGGATCTTGTGTTCAGCCATGCTGAATGGAACTTACTGCTTCTAGGCCAGGAGGCATCTGCTCCTTATGTTTTTAGGGTGAGGTTCGGGAAGCTGCTGGGAAGAAGGCTCAGGGAGGAGGAGGCGGCAGTGTGCACTCTGCTGTTCTCCTCTCATTGCCCCCTCCACGGCCTTCTGGCAGAACTATAAAGCTTTACATTGCCATTATATGTACACTGGCGATTTCCTGCTACCCTAGTCCTACCCACTCTTAGGTCTGTCCCATTTTCTTGCTGAGACCCCCACCAGCCCTTAGAGATGCATCTCGCCTTTTCCTGACCCCAGAGCCAGGGATTCCCTCCCAGATATCACACATCCCTCTTGTTCTTGCCCCCAGTGACACCCATTCACAATCACACAAAGCTCTTGTCCCTCTTCTGTCTCCCAGGAGCGGCCCTGACAGTTCCCTTCACCCTTGTACAGAGAAAGTCATAGCAAACTTCCCAGTTTCCTCTTTAAAAAATCCATCTAAAGATCAAGGTCCCATGTTGAGGGGCAAGGGTGAGTCACAATATACCAGCCACAGCACACACTTTTGGTCATACTCTATTTCCAGGTAAGAACATGATTCTCATGGTGGATAATGAGAGCTGAAGTCCAAAAGCATTTGTCCTGTTGGATTCAATGTTTTTGAACCATCTTCTATATTGTTACAGACTTTGATATTGTACTTGCTTATGAAACTGCTGCTATTTGTCTTCCAAACAGATGTCCCTGATAACAGTACTTTCTTTTTTCCCCTCTCCACACATTACAGACAAGTGTTTGTAGGGAACCACATAGAAGAAAGCAGTTCCAATGGTGGACATACTCACTGCGATGAGCTCAGTGGCCCATACTCAGAAGTGGTTGCTTCTCAAACATGTACCTCCTTTTCAGATGAAACTGGCATTCATGGAAGGACCTGAGCCTGAGTTAAAACTGGAACAAGTTAAACAAAACCAGCAGGACAGTTCTCCTGGCTGCAGAGGGATCAGTGCTGTGACTGCCTATTGAACACTGATACCACAAACCTCAAACAGTTCAGGAAGAGAAGAAGAATTTCTGTCAACAACCTGAAGAATCCTGGATGCATAACAGGAAGTGCTAACAGCCATATCTGAGCAATGGTGCTGGAGTTGCCTGATCTACATTATAGATCCTCATGATGATGATAACTATAAAATTTCTCTCTCTTTTCTGTGTAAGGATTCAGACTCAAACCCCTCTCCAGTGACATGGTGCAAAGGCTGTGCTGCCGGTTGAGTGGTTCTCATTAAAACCCATTTGACTGCAAGCAGCTTTACTCCTCCAGCAGGAAGCCTATTCCAGTTATGCCCCAAGTCCTGTAAAGAGTTCTGCCTTGCTCACCTGAATGCACACTGAGTTCTGTTACCCTCAGGGGTATCTGTGCAGCATCAGTTTTCACTGGGTTGCCTTGCTGTGAAAGAAAGCATCCTGCTGGTCTTACTGAACAGGCAGCATAACCAATATTGTGTATTCACCATGAGCACAAGTCATCTGTTTCTGGCTCTATCCTCAGGTCACACTCATCAGCTGCATTTTCGTGACACCTCCACTTGCTCATCCTCTGAAAAACAACAATGTCATGTGCAATAGCCAAAATAAAACCTTGTTTTTAGAAGGGTTACAACTTGCTTCACTATCTTAAAGCTCAGCAGTTCCCTCATGGATATGGAATTTACTTTATTTGGTTTTCCATTAAAAAAAAAAAGGTTTACTTAAAATTTATTAAAACACAGTTTACCTAGAACAGCCTTTAAAAAACTAATGGCAGCACTGGGTCTTACTGAATAAAGTCATTAGCTTTACCTGCTGCCAGCAAATAGTTTTGTTAGCAATAACCATTTACTTTTTGTTCCCAGTTTCTGATGGTAGATGGAAAAGAAACTTAATATCAAACAATCTTGAAACGATAGCAGTTACTCAGGCATTATAGAAAGAGATGTGTGTGTGGAGATTGACGATGTACTGTCCCACATGTGTGTTTAGCATTTATATCAAAGCTGGCAAAGCCACAAAACCAACACTGTTTGTGCACCAGTTGCCTGCTTTGAGCTGGGGCTGACAAATCATTTAACAGAAGCTACAGGCCTCTGTGAGGGTCACAGCAGCTTTTGGTTGAGGTGGAGAGGACGGGTTCTGCTCTCTCCACCTGTCCTTGCCCATGGAGTTCCACCAAACACAGGCAGAACCAAGAGAAGGTCAACAAGAGTGTGAGGAACCCTTAGAGCTCCAGTAAGCGCAAAGGTGGGACTGCAGAGCCAGGCTGAGGAAGGCAGTGAGGGCTGCAATGGGTGTACGACTGCCAAGCCAGCTCCTGGGCTGAGGACAACACAAAATTCATTTGAAACTTGAGGAGAAGCTTAGGAAGTTCATACCCCCATGTAAGCAGCAAGCACTCCTACAGTGAAGCACTGCCAGAGCAGCCTCATGCTGTGTACAGTGGGCTGTGATGTTACCAGAGAGTGGGTGAGTTGGGCTGTGTTAAAAAAACTTAAACACAGGAGACAGACCAAACCACCAGGCGTGTGTTTGAGTTGTGAGAGGTTTTAATCTCCCTTATTTTTACCTTGGAGACAAACACTTCTATAGGTTGATCTTTGAGCAAACTGACTACTACTGGTGTTGGGCTTGGAAACCTGTCAAGGTGTCAAGTCTGTTGAGTCAGACTGAATCATGGGCGGATGGGGAAAATGAGGAAAGGCTCCAGGAACTGAAGGTACCACATGGATGAAGATGTATCAGAGAACCAAACATTTCCATCAGTCAGATGGGCCCAGCAGCCTTCCCCTCCCCTCAGATACCCTTACCTTTTGCTAGCCCTCACTGGAGACATGTATCAACTCCCTTGTTGGCACCAGTTCTCCCACTGCAAGACAGGTCTGCATTTAACCCCACTGCAATCACGTTATCATCAAAGACAGCCTGAAGAGAACCCAACCACCCAGACTCATTTTCCTTCTCAAGGATGCAGCAAGTGCACGTCAGTCATTCCCACCACGTCTGTCTCCCCTGAGCCAGAACATCTCTCCTGCACAAGTTCTGCACTGCCTCCTCTCCCTGACTCATGGCAGACTCCCTCCTACCACCATGTTTTTCAAGAACCTCTTCCCTACAAATGGATTCCACGGGGTTTTCTGAAAGATGTGAATATTCCCATTCGTAACAGCAGGTGTTCTGGCATTAGTGGCACTGGAACATTACTCAAAGTATGTAACAACTGGAAAGACTTTTGGGGGTTTTTGCCCTTTTGAATTACCTGAAAATGGAAGGCATATTATTATGAAGTATATAAACAGTAATAAATCATATGCAGAATGCAAACTTAACTTACAGCACCTAGGGAAGTAGGGGAGAGAGAAATGCATTTTCTTCTCTGGCATTTCCATACATACCCATCTCAAGGCTCTTCCAGTGCTTTGCTCTCCACAGTGAGCACTTTTATTACCCCTTGTCCCAGAGTCCTCTGTTAAGTGGCCTTACCTGTGTGGCCTGCAGTATTCATGGAGGACTGAAATGCTGCACACACCAGCCAATAAACTGTGACCCGAATCAACTCATGCTGCTCATTCAAAGCCATAGCTGACCGCTCTCTGTGAGAAGGTTTACCCCAAATCACTACCCTCACAAACCCCAGTTTGCCCAGTCACTCAGGCTACATGAAGTCCTCTCCTGCTAACGTGTCAGGTGCCCTCACCTTAGCACTGGCACTAGCAGCCCAGCACCAAGATCCATTCCATATCCTGAGGAGCCTAGCCTCCACCCCAGACTGCACACGATCTATACAAGAAGCAGTATGACTTTCTGGGTGGTTGTGAATTCTGAGTAAAAGGCTTAAAAGGCCTGTCCTGGCATTACCTCCTGAGGGCAGCCCACACCGCTGGGTCAGCTGCAGAGCACTCTGGAGCTTCATCCACACGGTTCTCATCACGACAGCATCAAAGTGAGTAACTTGTGTTCAGCTGTAGAAACTCCTTGTTTTAAAACACAGGCACATATATGGAGCAAGTTTTCCATTCCCAAATGCTCTCCACGATTTATTTTCATCAAGCTTAATTTCTTAAAATAATGACTCTCCATCTATATGATTTATTCAGAGGCATTTTGAATATGTTGGCAGTTTCAGTATTCAGGCACACAAATCATTACATGCTAACCATCTGTGCCTTTTAAAGATACTTGGCCATTGTTTCTAGGAGAACTTGATAATAAACTTTTAATTGCCATATTGCTAAACTATATTGAAGCTCAGAGGTGGTGAGAGAGGTCAAGCTTTGTTTTTAAAAGTTCCCATGGGCAAGCACATATGAGCTGTATATATTTTACGTGACAGGCTAGTAGCTTTAGATTGTCAGCTCATTTGAATACATTTTCTCTGTGTGTTTCCAAAATAACCATTTAAAAAGAAAGAAACGTGTATGAACAATCTTCTCCTCCAACCTTGAGTATTTTGGTAACAGCAGTATTGGAAATATGAACAAAACATTACAACCTAGGGAGAAAGTACTCACTGATGGGCGTTTCTGGGTACTTATGCCATAAGATCATAATTTGTGTTTGAACACTTTATGTGCAGTTGGGCAGGATTAAGATACACTACTCTAAGGAATGCAAACCAACATGCAAGATGGGCCCTGGACGTAGTCATGGTCTACCCAAGATTTGGGCAGAGAAAGTACGTATCTGCATTACTGTCCTCTGGTTGAATGGTCTTACCTTGTTTAATTGTCTCAAGCAAATCTTGCTATAAATCACCGGTAGATGTGCTCAGTCCCTCAAGCAAGCTGAAACACTCCTCCCCTATGTGTTATGGGTATTTTTTTTTCCAGTTAGGTGAGATGGAAACGCATCTTTTGTCAGAGGAACTCCTCTGGTTTCATTGTGATTGGTATTTTTGTTTTAATTAAATAAAATAAGGGGTTTGGGGTATTTTTCATTGCAAAGAAGATTTCCTGATATCAGAGGCTGAGGATTGTACATGACACAGCATTTATCCCCTAATGGGCTTGCAGCATTTTCAAGAAACATTTGCTATTTTTACATCAAGTCTTCATACAGATATCATGGCTTCTTTAGGACAAGAATATTTATGTGCAGAAACAACCCTCATTATTTGAGTCTCACTTTTTTATTAACAAACCCCAAACAACCAAAATTAAATAACCATCACAGTGAGTGCGCATTTCTGCTTTTTTCCCTGTCAGAATTTGTACAAAGTACGTAGGCACAACGCATTCATGAGTCAATCTAATAAATTCTGGTTTTACATTTCAAAGGCTCCAGCTCAGGCTCTGCATGTCTGCCTATCTGGAATGGGATGTTAAACTGCCCTCCAGGCCCCATTAAAGAAATCTATCAGATTTCACAGAGAATCAATAAGCAGCAAGTCACCTGGGTTTTAGTTCTATCTCTCTTCTTTTCAGAGTGGGGAGAAGATGGGCCTTTACTGCAAGTCCCATCAGTGCTTGGACTTGATTTTAAAAGGTCTTTTCCAACCTCGCTGATTCTATGATTCTGTGACTCTATGATCAGGACTTTTTCTAATAAAAAAGAAAACACAGGAGAATAGAACCAACCAGCTCCAATATAAATGCTTTCAAAGGCCATTTAATTTAAAAACAAGGAGAATCCCAGACCATCATGATTCCAGGTTTCAGTCTTCTATTCATGCTGGCTTATATATCCTGAAAGAAACCAGGTTCTTCAAGAACAGTGAATCATTATGCCTAAGCCTCTGACAACCCATTCTTTGCAGTTACACCACACTGTGGTGAAGCTCTGCAGTCTTTTTTTCCCATATTATACTGGAGAAAGGGCGGATTTTGACTACGTGGGCAGTGAAATACAGTCCAGAGGCAATGCACTAAGAAATCTTTTTTGGTTCTTCATAAAGTTAAAAATGCCTGTAATAAAAATTATATACATAACATTCAGTGTCCCATACTGTTCAAGAAAAGGAAAATTACAGCTGTAATGTTCCACTGACAGATGATGAATACAATTTCCCCCCCCGAGTTTGTACATAGTAATAAAATACTGATCTTT